CTGAAAGGACAAATCAGAGGCTACTACCTTGTTACTACATGGCAGTCCCTTCCCTACATGAATTACCAGAACTGGCCTTCTATTAGGACTAAAGCAACTTGCACATTTGTTCTGCAACAAGCAAACCAGATTCTACCATTTTTGTCTCCCTTACTGTCGGCCAGCTTCCACCAGACTCCTTTTCTGACTAGCCACAGATGCAGCATAACCAACGTATTCTGCTACTGCATCCCAGGGGTGTCCTTTTTAGGTTAAAGCTGACAAAACCCCAGTGGAGTTAAATCTTACAAGTGGGTTAAAAATAGTTTCTACTTAAATGGGTCTCTCAGAGCTGCTTCTACACAGTAGGCAGGTAGTATCCAACTGACAAAGAAACAGGCTAGTGACTTGCCGGGGTCGTTCTACCTGGCAAACTGGAATCTGCATGTCCCAGTTCCAGTCCTTTTAAAAGAAAAGAAACTGACTGCCAGACAGGCCTCCTCCATACTTACATTGTGGGTGTTATAGATGATTTATAATGCATGGATGTCCCATATTCCCTATATTAAGATTAATTGTAATGAAGATTTTCACTTTCCCCAGAAACACAAGGCATCTGGAAGGGGCCACACTTACCAGGACTTCATAAATAGACAAAAAAGTTACTCCTAAAAAACGGGAGTCGGGTAATTGTAACATCCTCCCACCATACTTACAGGCCAAGGATATGACAACCCATTAAGATAAGCCAGAAAATACCAGTGCTTATATGTTACTTAGATGCAGTTTGTTTGTTTTTTTAGCATTCATTAGCCCAAAGTGGACTTTTAAACCTAATCTGTCTCAAACTCAGGAATACTCAACAAGTGAAACCAAGTGGCCTTGTTCTGACGCGCTGGAGAGTAAAGAAGTTCTAGATCCACATTGGTTTGGGCCACAAAGGATTTGCATAGTCTTAACACTTACGCGGACGTTATGGCTCGGTATCGTTCCTGTCCTGCTGTGTCCCATATCTGTGCCTTTATTGTCTTCCCATCGACCTGAATACTTCTTGTGGCAAACTCCACTCCAATGGTGCTTTTGCTTTCCAAGTTAAACTCATTGCGGGTAAATCGCGACAAAAGGTTACTCTTGCCTACTCCAGAGTCTCCAATCAGGACAACTAAAAAAAAGACAAAAAAAAAAGACCAGAATCAGACTCAGAGTACTCTGGAGGTTGTCTGCAATGCACTTAATTCAGGTACCTTATTCCTCTTCAAAACAACATACCGGAAAAACCACACTCAGTAGCTTGGTTTTACCTCTCCACTTTGTTCCAGGAGCAGAGGTGCCAAATCCACCATTTGGAAAGGATCTGGCTTCACATTTTACCCTGCACTCAGGCAAAGCAGGGAAAAAAACCGTAGGTTTCCCCAGAGAAAATGGCTCTTGCTACAGCAGCTGGAGGACCTCACAGAAGGTCACCACTTCGATTTCTTCTTAAAACGAGGAGGCTGGAGCCTGCTGTTCCTGTGCAAGATGTAGCAGAAGTCCACGAGGGTCAGTCTCTGCTCTCCCACCCCCACAACACCTTTCGTGCCTTCTGATAAGGCAGAAGGACCGAAAGCCCTCCAACAGCAAAGCCTCAGAAATCTTGGGGTGGCAAGACGCAAGGTGGTCAGCCTCACATCACCCTCTTGGACCCGGGGGCAAAGCCGCAGCAGGCTGCAGTTCAGCCAGACTCTGCGGCGGACCAGCGCCCGGCAGAACTGAGTGCAGGCCTGGAAGTTAGATTGAGGGCCAGTTTGGCCTTTGCCCAGCTCCAGAATCAGCGGAGCAGGAAGATAGCTTCGAGCTGGCATTTCCCCCCACTCCCTGAAACCTCCGATAAGGCCAGTGCTCAGATGAGCTGGCTTGGAGATTCAGCTGTGGTCGCGCCTATGACGGAAAGCAGATAGACGAGCAAAGAGCCAAAATCCAACTCTGAGGAATGAGCAGTCTTGGGAGGGCAATTTGGAGCGTGCTATATTGTCAAGTTTAAACGTATTGATTTAACTATAACCAGAAGGCTCGCACCCGGGATAAGGAAGCGGCACATTCATACCGCACCTTTGATTCACAGCAGCAACAATGGCCCGGCTGGAGGATCACATGCCCTGTCAGAGATAAGGTACCGGACTGATAACAGGGAAAATAAATGGAGGATACATGAGAGCCAAAAGAGGAAGGCCGATAACCTTTACAGAGCTGGCAGCAAGTCAGGGGCAGTCGCAGCAAAGGAGAGCTCACGCTTAAATGTCAAAAATTATATTGTTAGCATCTTTCTAAAAAAGGCATATTTGCTCTCAGTGCCACAGATTTAGCTGTCCTGCAGCAAGAAGCTGGGATGCGGCAGCAGAAGCAAGGCTGAGAAAGCCTTCAGAAGCACAGCAGCACTGTCCCAAGACAAAGATCCGGGTGAAACGGTTTTATTAAACAAGGCTTCGATCCCGCCCACCCCCCAAAAAAATCCCTGCTGAGTCCTAGGTTTGCGAAGGGGGGAAAAGAATTCACTACTGCTGTAGATTAACACAGCCGTCACCCTGCACAGTCTTCTGTGCGTTTAAATAATGCATAGCAACTCTGGCAAGTAGAAGTCATCAAAAGGCTACTCCACCAACAAAGCACCTTCCAAGCTACCCCCTTGCCACAAAAATCAAAGCCAACGCTTGCCTGAAGAATCGCCTTAGTGGGAGAACTTCAGCAAAACTAATATCCTTCTGACTTCCTTTGCCAGCTGACTCAGCAAGAAGCCTGCCAAGCTGCAGAAGTTGTATGCAGCACACAGAGTGGCTCTGCACAAACATACCTGGTGTCTGTTGACCATTTGCAAACTGGTGATACACAGGTACATTTGATCCAGAAAAAAATGTGTCGGTTAGTCAAACTGACAGCTCGGTCCTGTTGAGTTTTCAGTTGTGCTTACACAGCTAAATGTGAGGAGGTGCAGGACTATAACAACGTAAGTGCAAAGCACACGTTGTTTAATTGCATGGGTATCAATACTGCCTTGAAGTGTTTGGGACCCACCTGTCAGCCAGGAAATTATGAAGCCACCGGGAGATCTCACACCTCCAAGAGGAGACGGGGAAGGAGAACCTTTCAATCCCTCCTAAGCGAAGTCTCACATAGCATCTGGTACAAAGTAAAGTTAGAAGAGAACCCCTAGGATACCCAAATGTCCGAACGCCTAGGTATCCAAATGTTTGCTGCTCAGCCCTTGTGAGAGCCAGTCACACTGATGTCTAACTGGTACCCCATCAAAACTCTGTAGGCTGTTTCGCTATTAAATAGGCAGACTCAGGTTTTTCCATAAACTCTGGCTACATCAATTCCTGACACCTTCTCCATGTAACCGGGCCAATCCAGCACCACTTGAGGGAGGCCATAGGAACTCCTCAAGGTCAGCACAAACCCAAGGTCGCTCTGACAGATAGAGGCACAGTAAAAGCAAAATTATTAACTTTTGAAAATAAATTGTGCAATTAGGCCAACCTTTTTTATCCGTGGCATAAAGAGGAATAAATGCAACACTTCAGCAAGTTGCTGCCCTTCCTCACACAGCCACGACAGTTCTCCTTCCCTCCCCGAGCATCCAACTCCTTTGGGCTGAACAGGACACAGTAGAAGCCCCTGCTACCGAGGGAATCAGTTTCTGAAAGGGAAACGGTTCTCCATGTTGTGATCACGGAGTCTCTTAACACTAACTTTATTCCCCGTGCCCCCCAATATCCTTTGTGACTAGAAGGCTGTGGAAGAACATTGCTAGTCAGAGATGTTCTTCCGATTTCCAGCTCGTGTCAACTTATTCTTGTGCCGACACTGTCCCTAGGCATCCTTAGTTGTCTCCCTGGTGCTTGTCGGTTGTGGACGTGGCTTGTTAGCACCAACGTGGACATGGACTGGGCACACAACAGAAACCCCCACACCGGTGACACCCCCTGGAACCTGTGCTAAAATATACCCCGGGGGGGGGGCAGTACCCAGACTAAGTTTCACAGGCACAGGGGGACACGTGTCCTCGTCCATCTCCAGGGTATTTGTTTGCTCAACATAAGCAAACTATTGACTGTCTAATAGTGACTACTGCAAACAGTGACTCCCGGCTAGCTGGTCAGCTGTCCACTTGGGGGCATTTACATCTGCATACAAAACCAACCAAAGTTACTCTGGCAGACTTCAGTCCAGTCCCTGCCTGCTACAGACCCAGCAGTCACAACCATCTGCTCACTTTTTGCGTGCCCAGGGCAGTACACAATACTTCAGAGGAGCTCTCACCATTGCCTTGTGCAGCTGACACTGCCCAACTGCTACCGCCACTGGCCGGCTTGATGGAGTATCAGAATCACACCTGCCTTTTTCATGGAGGCAACCCATCAGCGACTCGGCATCTGTGGTCAAGGAGCAGAGCCAGGTCTTTCTTTCCCTCTGGTGTTTTAACTAAATAGAGATTGAGTAGCACAAAAGGCAAAGTCATGTGCTTCACAACTAGTAGCAGGGATTTCTCCTGCAAGCGGGAATCCAACTAAAACAAGGCCACATGCTTAGCCAGAGCCAAGCGCTCATCCCAGCTTACTGGGAAACAATACTCATTAAGTGTACAGCACAGTCCGTGCCGTGGTAGTATAGCCCCCAAGCTGCTCAGCACCCCCCCTTCTCAAAGCTTCTTTCTGGACAAGTTAAGAAGAGTACATTCAACTGTAAGTTGGGCAAACACCATGAATACACAGTTACCTGGAGAACAATTAAGCTACAAAGCAGGCTCTGGGCCTGAAGGACGCCATGCACTTACCAGATATGCACAGAACCAGTTTGTTACGAAGCGAGTGACAAGCAGCACTGGGCCCCGCAATGCGTTCTGCAGGGAACTGATTTATGCACTTTCCCAGTAGGCATCTACATCGTGTACTGTTTTCCCAACCTCAAATTTGTCCAGTTCTTCCTACACGCTCCTGTCGGCCCTTGTTTTGATGATGCATCAAAACATATCATCAGCAAATTGTCATTAGCTACTCCTTTAATTTGTGCGCCAGGGTCATAAAAATCAAGAGAGCAAACAAGACCAGTTTCAAGATCCCCGAGGAACATAACCTCGAGCCGCTCAGTGCTTCCCCTTTCAGCACTACCCACTGTTACCTCCTTTACAGCCAATACCTTCACAATTCTTCTACCAATTCCTTCCTCTCCAGTTTTAGAAATAATATCCCATTTTGCACCATCGAAAACATGTTAGTAAAATTCAGACAGGTCACAACTAGTGCACTTCCTTCATCCTTCTCTCAGAAAAAGATAATCAGGATAGTCTGCCACAGCCTACCTTTGACAAACTAGAGATGAACACGCCGCTGGATTTCAAGCTTTCTGGTAACAGACTGTATGCTTCTAGCTTCAACATTTATTAGATACTGGCCACTACAACTCTAGTCAGGACTGAAGTATAGAGAAAAGACAATGGTCATCCAAGTGAAATGTAAATGCCCGAAAGCATCAGGGCTGGACAGCAATGCCATATGCAGCACTAAAAAGTTGGCGTTTGCAATTTACTTCCCCCTAACACTTCTTGCCAAGCTTGAGCTCACTACAAAGACATTAAGAATAGTCACAGGTTCTGCCCTGGCCGACGAGTTAACACAGCAAGTTCCACCCCTTGAATCAGCCTGCATTTGCACACACAGCACCTGGTATCTGAGCAGCTCTGAGATAAAGGAGCAAATTGAGAAAGTGAAAAATAGTAGCAGCAAGAGAGAGGGGCTTAGACAACTAAAGTAATACATAAATCCAGTCTCAGATGTATGCATTACTTTAGTTAGCAGGAAGCCCAACATCATTAGAAGGAAAGAGTAATTTTCTTCTCAAACAGTTTGACTCCCCATTTTTGTTGGCTAGCTAATATAGAAAGTCAATTAGCATTTCGCTAACTAGTATTTTAAGAGTGTTAGCAATCATTTCTCCTCACCTTCCAGGTTGAAACTTTCCATTTTTAGTCACCCTGTTAGACTGCAAATGATTTTTCCTTAATGAGTTCATTTTTGCCTGCTGCACCTCTGGATTGAACCTAACTCTGGCTATTTTTACCTAATCTCTGAAAGCAATACTAGTGATCTGGTCTTTGGGAATATTTGGCTAACTGCTATTCAAAACAGCAGAGAATAACTGGGATTTGTTAAACTGTACAAAAGTCTATTCTAATAACAGACCTGTCACTACCCTAAATCTGTTTATTTTAGGAAACAGTTACTGTCTCATGAGGGGCAATTAAAGAGCTTAAAAAACTTAAACATGGTCCTTTAAATGCGAGAACACTGAACCCGACCTTGTCCCAAAACCTGTAAGAGCTAATAAATTCACATACGTGAATTTCTATTCTCCAATAGTTGGCCATCCTTCTAGAAGGGAGCTTTTAATGGTTTTAATGATTTGTTAATGCAGTTAGCTTCAGTAGACTACTTGGCATTCAGACCATGCTTTACACCAATGGCAATTAGCTAAGGATTAGGGAGGTTTTGGGGATTAAAAAACAAAACAAAGCAAAACAAAAAACACAACTGCAAACACCACTATTTGTGCACAATGACATGTCAGAGGTATGGAATGAAAACCCAGCAGAGCCTGAACTAGAACCACAGATGTCCAAAACATGACCATATAACTCTGCTCCTTACATTGCATGAAAACCAAACTCTTAAGAGGAAAAAAAAATGACAGACAAAAGTTAAACTACCCAACTTTTCTTCTTTCTTATAAACCTGAATTAAAAATCAAACATTTGATATTAAAATAAAAGTCATGAGCTAGCTTAAATTACATTCAGGTTCCAGTTAAATTAACTAAGCTGGTACTACAAGACTGCATTGTCTACAATGTACAAGTATCAGTCATTAATGGTACACCTCCTTCATCTAGAACATCAAACCCATCTAACTGAAGCCCTGTACCTACACATTTTTATCCCTCTGAAACATGGGAGGAGCCCTCCAAGAGTATGCAAGAAGGAAAGATACTGGAATACAAATGCTGGAAAGATACTGCTACTAATCTATTTCTCCAAGCTTAAATCCAAAGGAGACAGTAATTAAACTACATCAGAGGGAAATACCTTAATTTGTAATGGAAAAGGAGCCTCTGATATAGGGCTTACTAGCAGGCTAAAAAACACAGAAGCTTTTAGGAGATGGGTTTTTCCTATAAACAGAGCAAATATGAGACAACAGTGCATTGTGTGAAATCCAGACCAGCGGGTTTGTCCAGTTTCAGAGGAGTTTCTTTGATTTAGTAATAAAGCTGGAAAAATGAGTAAGATGCAAAGAAGGAAGGAAGTACAACTCCTCTGGCCTGGCATATTTAAATCAGTTGATTGTCAGAAATGAGAAGTGAGTTTGTTGGTTCACTTGTCTCAAATTTGGAGTTTCACAGAAGGTGTAACCAACACTGCAGCCAAACCTTCTAACGATTACATAATATCCAAACACAAGGGAAAAAAAAGACACAAACAAGTTAAAGCCAGTTGAGATTGTCTAGGGTACCTCCTTGATATTTTAGATCACATCAGGTTCTATAATCCAGGTCAGAAAGCGACATTAAGAAATTCAGAAGCCACCCCGAATTAGTGTATTAGTTATGCCACCATGTTTTTTTTAACCTCACTTTTCTGGTGAAAAATATTTGCGATGTGATGGAGACAGACAAGGGTACATAGACCATGTCTGTTTTTTGGGTTTCAGGCTCCAAGTCCCTGGGGCATCATTGCCTTTCCTACAGCCCACTGCGTAGTACAGCATTGTCATGGGGACAAACTGCATGTCCTAGGCATTCAACAGTCAGGGGACAGCCGTTTTGCTATAAATCCTCCGATTCAGTTGGAACTGTAGCATGTGGGGCTCATACCATAAGAACCACCATTTTCAACCCGATTTGCCTATAATTTTATGTCCAACAGCTACCTTAAGCCAACTATCATCGGTCTTATGTAAACAGAAGATGTAAAGATGACACGTTTTCATATGTCCACTTTACACATCATTTTGTAGAAGCAGGTGATTTCCTAGTGTAAATGGGAATGCACCAAAAGCAAACCTACCTTAATGACAAGAAAAGACTCATCTATAGGCATGTTGCAACTTGGGCTGTAAGACTGACATGGGACAACTGTTGAAATCAGGCCCCCTGGCTTTGTTTCAAATGTAATTAACATCTACTAATAAAATTCAATCTGGATTAACACCATCAAAGGCTTGGGGGGGGGAGGGGGGTGTAAGGAAAGCCATTTTCCAAATGAAAATGAACCAAATGAATAATGACAATTTTCATTTGCTGGGTTTCAAGCAGGTAAAAACAAACACGCACAGCAAAGA